ATGTCTTCCCTCGCTTCCTGTAGAAACCTTGGGTATATCCCGTCTGGCCCATGGAACTTATCTATCCTCATGTTTTTCAAAATTTCGAGCACATCCTCCTTCCTAACATCAATCTGTTCGAGCATATCTGCCTGTTTCGTGCTCTCCTCACAAACCTCAAGGTCCCTCTCACTGGTGAATACTGAAGCAAAGTAGTCATTAAGGACCTCCCCTACCTCCTCTGTCTCCACGCACAAGTTCCCTCTACTATGCCTGATTGGCCCTGCCCTCACTCTGGCCATCCTCTTGTTCCTCACATAAGCATAGAACGCCTTGGGGTTTTCCTTGATCCTACCCGCCAAGGTTTTCTCATAACCCCTTCTAGCTCTCCTAAGTCCATTCTTCAGTTCCTTCGTGGCTACCTTGTAGACGTCTAGAGCCCTGTCCGATCCTTGCTTCTTCAATCTTAAGTAAGCTTCCTTTATCCTCTTGACTAGGTGTTCCACATGTCTTGTCATCCAAGATTCCTTTGCTTGCCTCAGTGGGACAAACCTATCCTGTACTTGTAGCAACTGCTCCCTAAACAACCTCCACATTTCTGTTGGCCAAGCAGCATCAGAGGAGCAGGAAGGCTGAAAAAGGGTCTGAAGAAGGGTCTAGGCCCGAAACATCAGCCTTCCTGCTCCTCTGCTGCTTGGCCTGCTGTGTTCATCCAGCTCTACACCTTGTTATCTCAGATTCTCCAGCATCATCAGTTCCTACTATCTTTCTACATTTCTGTTGTGCATTTCCCTGAGAACATCTGATCCCAATTGGTGCTCCATAGTTCTTACCTAATAGTATTGTTATTCCCCCGACCCCAATTAAATACTTTCCCATACCGTCTGCTCCTATCCCCCTCCATGACTATAGCAAAGGTCAGGGAGTTGTGATCACTATCACCAAAATGCTCTCCCACCGAGAGATCTGACACCTGGCCTGGTTCGTTGCCAAGCACCAAATCCAATATGGCCTCCCATCTAGTCGGCCTATCTACATATTGAGTCAGAAATCCTTCCTGGATGCACCTAACGACCGAAAATCTGCTCCATCCAAACTATTTGCAATAAAGAGGTTCCAGTCTATATTAGGGAAATTGAAGTCACCCATGACAACAACCTTATTACTTCTGCACCTTTCCAAAATCTGTCTCCCAATCTGTTCCTCAGTATCTTTGTTGCTATTGAAGAGCCTATAGAAAACTCCCAAGAAAGTGACTGCTCCATTCCTGTTTCTGACTTCCAGCCACACTGACTCAGTGGACAAACCCTCTTCCACGACCTCCCTTTCTGCATCCCTGATACCATCCCTGATTAGCAATGCCAACCCCCCACCTCTTTTACCTCCCTCTCTCTCTTTCTTTCGAAACATCTATACCCCCGAACATCCAACAACTGTTCCTGCCCCTGTTATCCAAGTCTCCCTAATGGCCACAACATTGTAGTTCCAAGTACTGATCCATGCTCTAAGTTCGTCATCCTTATTCCTGACACTTCTTGCATTGAAGTAGACACACCTCAACCCGTCACACTGACTGCCACTTTTGCCCTATCAACTGCTTATCCTTCCTCACAGATTGTTTGTCTGCTTGCTCTATCTGCCTGTACACTGGCTACCCCATCCTCTGATCTGTAGCTCCGGTTCTCATTCCCCTGCCAAACTAGTTTAAACTCTCCCGAAGAGCTCTAGTAAACCTCCCGCCCAGGATATTGATGTCCCTCCAGTTCAGATGCAACCCGTCCTTCCTGTACAGGCCCCGCTTTCCCAGGAGGTATCCCAATGATCCACAAACCTGAATCCGTCCCTCCTGCATCAGCTCTGTAGCCACGTGTTCAGCTGCACTCGCTCTCTGTTTCTGGCCTCGCTAGCCTGAGATTACTACTCTGCTCGTCCTGGCTTTCAGCTTCCATCCTAACTCCCTATAATCGCTTTTCAGGTCCTCATCCCGTTTCCTAGCTATGTCATTGGTACCGATGTGTACCACAACTTCTGGCTGCTCTCCCTCCCCCTTAAGAATCCTGAAGGCTCGATCCAAGACATCCCTGACCCTGGCACCCAGGAGGCAGCATGCTGTCCGGGAGTCTCATTCGGTACCACAGAATCTCCTGTCTGTTCCCCTAACCATTGAAGCTGCTATCACTATCGCTGTCCTATTCTCCCCCCTTCACTTCTGAGCCACAGAGCCGGGCTCCGTGCCAGAGACCTGGCCGCTATGGCTTTCCCGTGGTAGGTCAACACCCACCACCCCTGCCAAAAAACAGTATCCAAAGTGGTATACTTATTATTGAGGGGAATGGCCATGGGATCCTGCATTGTCTGCCTATTCCCTTCCCCCTTCTGACAGTCACCCAGCTACCTTTGTCCTGTAACTTAGGTGTGACCACCTCCCTATAACTCCTCTCTATCACCCCCTCAGCCTCCCGAATGATCCGGAGTTCATCCAGCTCCAGTTCCCCAACGCGGTCTGTGAGGAGCTGGAGCTGGGTGCACTTCTCACAGGTGAAGTCAGAAGGGACACTAGTAGTCACCCTTACCTCCCACATCCTACAAGAGGAGCATGTAACTGCCCTAGCTTCCATTCCCTCTACTCTAGATTGCCAAAAAAATAAAGAAAAAGAAAGGTTACATTACCTTACCTTATCTTGCTGACCCTCCACAGTCACAATTTGCTTAGAGGAGGAGGATGAGTGGGAGACGCTACACGTGTAGTGTTTCGGGGTGTAGACAATGCCCGAATATAATAGTTCACTTCCCGGCTCGCGCACTCACCACTCCCGCCACTCAAATCTAGAAAGCCGCTGACTCACGAGATAAGTTTTTAATAAGGAAAACCTTACCTTCCCGGCTGCCCCTGGCCCACACTCACCTCTCCCGCTGCTCAAATCAATAATTCCCTGCCTTTTCTTTGTACCCTGAAAAATGTATTTTATGAAGTATTCCCTTTTAAAACCATCAATTAGCTTGAAGTCTAGCTTTCTCGAGCAATACACTTTACAAATTATTACTCTTTGTGCAAGTGTCTTTTTTTCTCTCAATGTGGTGTCCTTGTATTGGATTTGACTGCTGAAGGAAAAAGTCACTCTGCCATTTTTTATGCTTCAAGATATTCAAACTTGATTAGATTTTCCCTTTTCATTTTCTCATCTTTGAAAATGTGAATTTATTCAATCTTAACATTGCAGGTGCTTTATTCCTAAGGTGTCTTATTGTAATGCTGTGTTCTGTTGTCACCTGTCCCAGTGTTAGGGAAGTTTATTTGCTGTTGCGATTTAGATGATTTTCAAATTTTTTATTCTTACTTCTCTCCCTAACTTCAGATTCTTTTCAGCACTAATAACAGCTGTGCTCACATATCACCTAGCCTGGGTTCCCACAGTTATGCCAAATGACCACCCTCCTATAAAGGCGTTTCATGAGAAACATGCATCCCAGAATGTGGACCTGTTGGGAAAATCACATCCATATAATCCTCTTTGGGCACAACTTGGTAAGATATTAATTGATCTGTTTCACATTTGAATAATTTGGGTGGTATTAGAACTATTTTTGCAGATGGAAGGTGAAGATGAATCTTCACCCTTTGATAAAATAATGAACTGTTTCGATTGAAAGGAAGGCATGTACAATGAAGAAGGGATTTGTTGTGGAGTGCTGTATTAAGATGACCGTTTCCCATTAACAGCTGGGAAATATTTATCACAAATCCATTCAAAGAAATCACTCTACACAATAGGATAGACTCCCTGTCGAAGAGCATTAAGCTTATCTTAGACATGGAATTCAATCTTCACGAAACTCCATTGGCACAATTATTAGCTGTTCTCCTGTGGTATTCATGCTAACAGGCTAGTCTACTTTGAACTGGAGGGCAGCAAATAGATAGAGGGTAGGTTAGAGAATTTGAAAATTAAAAATGTTGAACCAATAACTACAGATTGCACTACTTAAGACGTGAGGGCTGTGAGATAGACAATGGCTATTGTGTAACTTTTTTTAATCTGGACATGATTTCTGCATTTAAAGTTGTATGTAAAGGTTTTCTGCACATAAAATTTAGATGCTTTTACATCTGTTTTTGATTGTCATCAAAATAGACCATTCATAGATCATGTGTTTTCCTATTTTTGTCTTATCCACTCAACCCACTTCTAAATATTGTCTGTGGTTGTATTTTGGCAGTCATATGGTTGTGTATAGAGTAACGCTGCTTATTTGGAGTCTGTTTCATAGAATTGTAATTAGTATCGTGCAGATGGAGGCTGTTCGGCCTATTATGTATGCACCAGCTCTCCAATTATGGCATTTAATGCCATTTAGAATTAGAATCCCTACAGTGTGGAAACAGGCCCTTCGGCCCAACAAGTCCACACCGAACCTCCGAGCATCCCACCCAGATCCATCCCCCTATGACCCACCTAATATACACCCTCTACCTCCCTGAACACTACGGGCAATTTAGCATGGCCAATCCGCCTAACCTGTACATCTTTGGACTGTGGGAGGAAACCCACGCAGACACGGGGAGAATGTGCAAACTCCACACAGACAGTCGCCCGAGGCTGGAATCGAACCCAGGTCCCTGGCGCTGTGAGGCAGCAGTGCTAACCACTGTGCCACCGTGTCACCCCAATTGCCTCCCTGTACCCTGTACCTCTGCATATTGAATGTTCCCATAAATAGAAATAATTATCTCTTAAATACCTTGATTACACATGCCTCCATCACACTTTCAAGTGGAGTATTTCAAGTCTGAATCATTCATTGTTAGAAAACGTAAGTTATTGCATCACACTACTTCTGCAAATCCCTTTCAAATGTGTGCTGTCTCGGTTTTCATTCATTTTGAGTGAGAACATTTCTCCCTGTCTACTGTATCTAGACTTCCTGTGGTTTTGAAAATTTCTGTCATATCTCCTCTTAGCCTTCTCCTGTCCAAGGGAAACAACCCCATCTCTTCCAGTCTATTTTCGTCATTGAATTTTCTCATCCCTGGGATTATTCTTAAGCCTCTTAGTCACTCTCTGTTCAATGTATTACCCTTCTTTCTTCCTATCGTGTGGTGCCAGAACTGTACATACTCGAGCTGAGACTGACAAGTGTCTTCCCTGCTCTTGTACCTTGGCATTAATAATGTCTAGGAAACTGTATGCTTTAATAACTCCTCAGCAACAGTTCTGCCACTTTTAAGAATGTATGCACGCTTGTACTGGAGTATGACTCTGCTTCTTTGAGAAGTAGTTTAGTTTATACTATCAGTCCGTGTTCTTTTGCCACTTCTCTATATTGAATTTCATCTGCCTATCTGCCCACTCCCCCAATTATCAATGTCCTTTCAAAGTCCCATCCTTCTAGCTTACAATTCTCCCAAATTTTGGAATTCTTTCCTGCACTCAAAGATCTAGATCATTTTATATATGTATATCAGGAAAGACAAGGCTCCCAACATTGACCCCTGAAGAAATCAACTATAAACTTTCTTCCAAAATGAAAAATATTTATTAATCATTACAGTTTCCTATCATTCAGCCAATTTTGTTCCACATTTGCTACAGACTCATTTACTTCATGAGCTGCAATATTTCTCAAGCCTATGTGGCACTGTATCAGACACCTTTTGGAAATGCATGTGCACTACAACTGCATTATACTCTACCTCGTTTGGAAAACTTCAGGGAGTTAATTATAGCATGGTTTTCCCTTCAGAAAACCATGCTTGCTCTTCTAACTACTTTATTCATCTATGTGACTTAATTCTATTCCAAATTTTTGTTTCCAAAAGTTTCCCCACTTTTGAAGCTGAATTGTGTTCTGCAGTTGTTGGACAGATCCTACCTTTTTTGAACAATGACATGTTTGCAGTTCTTGTCTCCTGGCGTCATGCCCCAAGTCCACACTGTCAGTCAACAATGTTTACATTGTCGCCATTAGGATAGCTTTTAATTCCAGATTTTCGTTGAATTTGAATTCCATTAGTTTCCATAATGGGATTTGAATCCTTGAGTTGTAGGTCTTGGAACTCCTAGCCCAGTAATGTTACTACCATGTCACTGTTATCCTTCAATGTCATAGGGTGCATCTTATCTGATTTAGGTATCTGGTCAACTTTTATGTACCAACAGCTTATCCATTATTTCTGTCTTATTAATTTTGAGCCCTTCTAATGAGGATTTCCTGCTCTGACACTGTAATTTATGTGATATCTAATTCCTTGATTAAAAGCCCACCCACAATATTAAATTAATATGTCATATCCCCTACCTCCACATGCAAATTATTTGGATTTCTCATTAATCATACTCCTTCCTCCTTTGACTACCCTTTTACGATATATCTGCAAAGGCTTTGTGATTCCTGTTTGTTAGTCTCTTCATAATTCTTCCTTGTTTATCTATTTGGCTATTCCTTCTGCGTATTTTGTTTTCAGCTTGGTTTTCAGTTGTATTTTTCTACCTGACATCTGTCATAAGTACAGTTAATATTTTTATCTTAACTTTTATTTCCGTTTTCATATAAGGGGCTCCGGATTTGTTTGCCATACCTTGACTGTGTCTTTGAAAGTAGTCCATTGATCAGCTACAGTTTTTCTCATGAACCGTAGGCTCCAGTCTATCCGGCCCTGCTTCGTTCTTGCCCCGTTGAAATTGGCTTTCTACTGTCTGCTGAATTAATGTTTGCCTGCTGATATTTGTTCTTGTTGAACTACCTCGGATGTTGTTGTGTATTATAGTTGAATAATGTGGGACAGTGCCTCTTCAAGACGTGATTCATGTTGGTCAGTCATCAGCCAGGTTGCAGGCTTATTACGTCATGCCTTGTCTTGTGAGCTTTTACAGAGTGCACAAGTTTAGAATAAAGCCTCCCTGCTGCTGCTTTAGTTCTACTGGAGCCTGGTAACTGCACGGGTAATGTAATGTAACAAGAGTGCTCCTTTCTGTCCATTTACGCTTTCACTGACCCAGTGCCCAGTCTATAATTCAGGTAATTAAAGTCTTCCCCTCTTTCCACCGCTCCCCCCACCGACCCTCCTACTCTGAAAAGAAGATTATAACTACCTCTGTGATGCATGCAGCTCTCTGTAATTGAAATCATTTGTATAAGTCACTGGTCTGCAGACCACACCAAACAATGTAATTATACCCTCTTAGGTCCTTGGCTGTAGCCAAATCAGTTGTCCTTGAACCCTCTTAGATATCCTCTCCTCTTTTTCCAACACTGCAATGCTCTCCTTAGCCAAAACTGCCACCAGTCCTTCTTGTCTTTCATTCCTATCATTCGTGAACACCCTGTAACCAAGGGTATTTGAAACCAAGTCCTGCCTGCCCTTCAGCCAAGTCTCTGTTATCACCACGACATCATAACTCCAAACGGCAATCTGTGCCTTTTAAATCATCCATCTTATTTATCTTTGCATTCACATATGTGCTGTGCAAGCCTAATTTAGAATTCTTTTAATTTCTCCCTTACTTCAGATCCACCTACTTACTTGCAATTCTGTCTTCCAGTGCTATCTGTCTCCCTGGATTTTGTGCATCCTGATATTCCTTTCTAATATTTCTCCTGGTTCCCCTACCCCTCCAGATTTAGTTTTAAGCTGCCCCACAAGAGTTCAGTATGCCTGTATGAAGAAGCTGATTTGATGAGTGACAAAAATCCAGCTTTGTTTTCATATGTCCAGATGACCTAAAATTTATGAAGTGCTTTGCATGTCATCAGGTCATTCCAAAATGCTTCATTAGCAGTGAATTATTTTGATCTATAATCATCTGTGATGTGGATGATACACTAGCCAATGTATGCACAATGAGGTTGCTCAAAAACAGGAATGAGAAAAATGAACAGTTAATCTGTTCTTTTGAAGGCATCCATTGGCCAAAACGCAGGAGAATTTATTGTGTATGTTTGGGTAGTGTATGGCATTCAAGAACAAGGTTTATTTTCCATAAGATTTTAATATTTTCAAAGTATCTGAGAATATTCTCTGTTATTTATAGCTGTTACTAATTCTGTGCCTTTCTTTCAAGGTGATTTGTATGGAGCTATTGGTTCTCCAGTGAGGCTCGCCAGGACTGTTGTAGTTGGGAAGCGTAAAGAACTAGTTGAACGCTTACTTTTTGTCCTTAGCTACTTTATACGGTGCTCAGATCTTCAAGAAAACCAGCTAATGTGCAAAGGGAAACTATCAGAAGGTGAGAATATTCAAGCAGGAACCAAGATCTCCACTGCACTAGAGAAGGGAGAAGTGGAAGAATCAGAATATGTAGTTGTCACTGTTCATAAGGATGACCCTATTGTTGTGACTCCACTTCAATCTTCAACCAATGTTGGGAAAGAAAATATGATGGCTGTAGATAAATCGATACAACTAGATTTCACATCCAAAGCGGTTAGTAGCAGAAAGCCTGAATCTGATAGCTATGAAAGGTATACTTCTGGACAGTACAATGAACCCCCTTCAGTTATGAATGGAGCCAAATTTGATGCTGCTAACACTTGCGCAGAAATCACAATGCTGATTCAAGAAAATGCAAAAGAGACTGTAACGACTGTGAAAGAGTCTGCACTGTGTACCACAGAGATACAAATGCTTGGGCATGAAGGATTTGGATTAACAGATAGACCTACTCATTCTGCATCACCAACTGCAGCAAAGCTGGCAAGCAGTCCACCAGTGAAAATGTCTCAAGCTGTTTCTGTCCTATCTGGAATGAAGTGTCCAGACAGGTTTCCTCAAAGGAGCCCACACCTGCAGGATAGAGTGCTGTTTCAGATTGGGTGTTCACTGTCACCTGACTCTGATATTGAAACTAGAAGGCAGGAAATGGAAGAACAGGTGGAACAATTCAGGAACCACCAAGATGGAAAAAATAACAGTAATCAACTGCAAAAAGACATCGACTTGTCAAAAATAGACACTGTAGATCAACCCACTGAGGCTGGAGGAAGAATGCAGGAAAAGCAGAACCATTATTGTGAGAGAGTTCCTTTTTCTGAAGGAAACACCAGTATCTTTGAACATTTCACTGAGGACAATGGCCCTGCAGCAAGCAAAGTAGCTGAGCTGTCTAACCAGGTTTCTGGTATCTCCATTGCAAAGGAAACGGTCAAATTATTTGTGTGCTCAAATAGAGAAAACACCATCCCCAACACAGCAGCCATAAGAACTTCATGCTGTGACAATTTGGAAATGCCTCCACTTGACTTGGTTGATGCTAATTCTGGAAGTCAGAATTATGGGGACACAGCCTCTACTGGCATTCTCTGTGGGGAGGAGGATGATTCTGGGAAGAATGTTGCCTTGAGGATAGATGGTGACATTCCCAGGAATGAAAGTTCTGACAGTGCTCTTGGAGACAGTGATGATGAGGATGTAACCCACGACTCATCAACGCAAGGACTGGAGTGTTTTAATGAGAGACGAGATACCATGGAAGAGCTTGAACTTTCAACAGCAAGGCAAGTAAGAGCATGGTTGCTAAAGATTGGCTGGAAGAAAATGTCCTCCCGAGTTTTGGCTCTGTGGTAGACTTGGTCAGGTTTCTTGTGTTATGACCCCTTTTATAATCCTCACACCCTGCCCCTTCCCTAAATTAAATAACCTAATCTGTACTGTCTTGGATTACAGTTCAGGATGTAGCAGAGAACTGCCAGTTTCCAAGAAGTCATGGCTGTAACTTGAGAGACTTTGTGCAAAAGTTAGGAACACAAAAACAGAATAAGCCATTTAGCCACTTGTTTGTCATTCAATGAAATCATTACCAACCTATTACCTAATACCATAGACTCTTCTTTACCAATATCCTTAATGTCTTTTGTTGAGTTTAAAGCTGAGATTAATGCATATCCCTTAGCAACTGATGTCAGTACAATTGTTGTTTTTAAGGAAAAAAAGTACTATCTTTTTCTATAGAAGTATTTCCTAACTTTATTCCTGAAAGGTATGCCTGTTATTTTTAGGCTATATTCCCTGATCCGACATTTGCCATCCAGTGGAATTATTTTCGAACTATCCATCCTGTCAGTTACTCTTAATATCTCTCAAAACACGAGTGCAACCTTATCGTCATCAGGAGTCGTATCGTGCCAATTTGAGTAATTGCCCTCTGTCCCTACTATTTAGTACAGTTCAGTCAATTCCCTACCTAGATCAATTAATCCTCCATTGCAATAACCTCACCTTCTAGTTCCACCTCTTGGGAGGGATTCACATCAGATGCCTTAAGAAATTGAAATTTAAATATATATTCCACTCTTGGAATCTAGTAGAGCAGTGCACAGTTTTTTTTAAAAAGTGATCTCTCCATTTAAGTATTTAGAATTCTGTTTGCCAGGGAACAATGTAGACTGTTCACTTAATATATTCAAAGCTGAGCTAGATTCTTGATCTACAAGGAAGTCTGGGGTTGCATGTAATGTTAACAAGATATCAAATCAGTCTTGACTTTATTGAATGGCAAAACATGTTCAGTGGTCTGAATGGCCCACCTCTTGCTTCTAAACTTTTGCAATCGTATGCGCACATAAAATCTTAGTCACCATCTTAACTTGCTTTGTGAGGCACAACCAACATTTTGCATTCTACAATGACACTCTGTTAAGCTCAAACTTTTCACTATCCTTAGCTATAGATATTATTAATGTTAGGCTAACTGCCATTATAATTCTTGTACTCTCTTTTCTGTCACCTTCCTGAAATGGAAGTCGTGTGCGATTTTTCAAATTTATGGAAGGATTCCTGAATTGAAAGGTTTTTGCTATCTGTTTTGTCACCCTTTTGCTTGTACTTCTCCCATTCACCAAGATCAATGCTTTTTCATTTAGTTTTCTATTGTGCCTTAACTCTTTCGACACCCATTATTTTCTGTGGTACCTAGACCTCATGCCACCCCCCACCCCGGGCAAAACTGGTTTAGTATTACCTTTTTTGATTATAGCTATCTGGTCTTCTATTAAATTAGCCATTAGTATATTTATGATATGGTTTACTGTTAGTCTCGGTCTCATTTCCATTTAAAGTCACCCTTGTCTATACAAAGTGTTGAAGTATCAATTGTATTATGTCACTATTGAGTAAATGTCTATACACAGGTTGTTAACACAACCTGTTGTCTTTACATGTTTTATCTAATTGGTCTGATTCCTTGTTGGCTCAAGGATCTGTTGCTTTCTGACTTTGCCTGCTTAGCTTAATATATATAGAACACAATATTCCTCATTATTCCAATCTTCTTTTGCTTACATGTCTGTTATCTGCATTAGTCCAGTCTGCGATATCAGGGTGCCTTTGGATAACAACAAAGTTTCACCTGCCTGCTTGCTTTTAGTTCATCATTTTTATTTTTGGTTTCAACTTAAACTTGATGAAACATCTAAGCATCTTGTAGTTAATGTATTCCTTTGTATCCTTAAGTCCTGTGGACATGAAGGTTCCAGATTTGATTTCCAGATTCTTGCATAGTTGACCTCAGGTGCAGTAATTAATCCATTGATATGGAGGAAAGAGAAAAATCATCCTTTGCTGATTATTGCTTAGTTTTTGTTTCAATGTGTACACATGGACATTGGATGAGTAGTAGATACAGCTGGGCTGTGACATCCTATAGGATTGAAAAGGTGGTGACATTTGGGGAACTTCTGAATGAGTAGTAACCACTTGAACCTACCTTTGGAAGATGTGTCTTTGAAAGAGACAGATATTCAAAATTGCCTAAAAGCCATCTGAATAAAAAAATTGTTACAAAATGGACATGGTAAATGTTAAACAAGGCTGTTTTTGTATATTAGGATAAGTGTATGGGGCTATTATGTCTGTCCATATGTACAAAATATATAATTATAAAATACAAACTTTTCCCTGCGGTTGTGTTACAGCATCAAAATGAGCAGTAGATCAACTATCAATAATTTTGGAAAATCTTTGTTTGGTGGATACTGTTCTCAATATGTCCCAGACTTAGTCTTACATGGAACTTGCTCTGATGAGAAACTGAAACAGTGCTTAATGGCGGATTTAGCTCATGCTGTGCAGGTAAGTGTTTTGATGTAATATCACTGACAAATTTACTTTTAGCATCTTCTGTCAGCATATTGTGTTCTTCAGGTTTTATTAACCTCCTACGTAATTTCTGGAAGGAGGAGGTTGCCCCGATCAAAATACGAAACCATTTGAGACAAAACATAAACATTTTAAAATTTTGCATCTGTAGTCTAAAACGAGGGATCAAAACTAGAATTGGTCCAAAGGCTAATTTTCAGATGTGGTTAAAATGTAACAGGGAAAGTGACAAATCTATGTTAGTGTGTATAATATATACACATTCATCCATACATTCTTGTCCAATAAAACCACTTTTGATGCCAGAATTGCTAATTCATTGCTCAAAGCTACTCCTCTTTATCCAGCCACCAGATATGCTGCAAGACTGAGCTCTGGCATCCGATGATTCCCTAGCTACAATGTCAAAAAGGGAAGAGCATCCTGCTATCTTCTCAGCAATTCTGTTCACTTCTCATTTCAGCTTCAGGCAAGAACTGGCATGTTTCAAACACACTTGTGCTTTTTAGAGCACATGATGAATTCAGTGCCAAACAGGTTATTGTTGTCTTAACATTTGGATTATGATCAACTCCATTCAAGACAATCTGTTAACTTCAAAGTTGACTGGTTTTGTTGAGCGCATAGAGCTTGCCAGCAGAATCTTTTGGATATGAACTTAGGCTCTGTATAATTTGCACCAATATTTGTGTATGTATGGGCAGGAGGTAGAGTTGGTTGGCATTGGAAAACATTTCAGCCAGCCAAATCTAGGAGCTGAATTAATTTGGAAATGTTTTGGCATGAGGGGGTTTCAACTAGCAAATTAGATCACCTTCAGAACAATATCAGAAGGTGAAGAAATTAAATTAAGCTGACTTTGGCTTTAGCAGATGATCATAACCTCAGATTTTTGACATTCTAATAGCTAGACACCTGACATTTTATAGCATCCCCTCAATTTTTGAATGGAGTTTAATCATTTGCGTTGTTCTCCAACAGCTTATCACGGTCAAAATATTAAATACTTTTATGAATTCTTTACCTTTTTTACTTTAGCACCCTGTTTTAGATGAGCCTATTGCAGAATCTGTCTGTATTATTGCAGACACAGACAAGTGTTCAGTGCAAGTGGCTACAAACCAGAAGAAAGTGATGGATAGCAAGTTGGGTAAAGAGGTTTTGGTCTCTAACCTGGTTTCCTCCTTGCTCCAATCAATTCTCCAACTTTACAAACTGAAAATCCCACCTGATTATGTAAGTAAAAAGTTATGCCTGTCTTGTGATTTTGTCCAGACTACATTCTGACTACATGTATAACCGGGTGGTGTCCATTGTGCAATATGAAACAAATTTTCAGGAGATCAAAGGGCCCAACCGGGGTTAGATTACTTTTAAGTGTATAATTGTTGCTACATATGAATTGGGTGCTAAATTTAAAAAAAAAAGACAACCAGGGCATTAATCTCTAAGTCGCCACCTGAGCTGTATGAAAATTGGCATAGGAGCAGACAGGTCTGAGAATTACCATATGCTTAAAGGATGGCATGATTGTTCAGTGATTGGCACCGCTGCCTCACAGCACCAGGGACCATGGTTTGATTCTACCCTCAGGTGACTGTGTGGAGTTTGCACGTTTCTCCCTGTGCCTGTGTGAGTTTCTTCCCCCCCTTCCCCATAGTCCAAAGGTGTGCTGGCTAGGTGCATTGGCCATGCTAAATTGCCCATAGTATCCAGGGATGTGCAGGCTAGGTGGGTTAGTCATGCAGAGATAGTCTGGGTGGTAAGCTCTTCAGCGGGTCGGTGTGGACTTGATGGGTTGAACGGCCTACTTCCCGGCTTTAGGTATTCAATAACTGCTGTTGGAAAGAGGGGCTAAGTAGACTCCATTAAAATGATGGGGAGGAGTCAACAAAATGGCTTTGGTAACCTAAATGTAAACAATACCCAGCAAGATGAGCAGACAAGAGAATGAATTAAGGGTAGACGTTGATGGCAAATCATTATGCAACAGAAGTTTTGTTTTTAAATTAATCATGAAATAAAAGGAAGTCTTTTTTAAAAAAAAAAGTAAGTTGTTATCTAAAGAGCAATGTTCTGAACCATGGTACTACAATCACAGCCTGCAATCCCATAAAGGTGGAACACATGAGCTTTCACTGAGACCCAGATCCCGTTCTACTGATTTAGCCTACTTCAAGGAGTGACCTCCAACTATTCAATCACAGGAACCATTGCATCTCTAACCCTGACTTCAAGTATCGACTTCACTTCAGAAAGAGAGTCGTGAAGCATGTCAGGCCTCCAACAATGCTAGAGATTGATATCATCATCTTCTTGTACAGTTTCTATGCCTATCTTAAATATTTGTGTATACGTTTTAACTAATAACTTTACCTGATTTTACATAAATAACTTTCAGCACTAATTATGTGATAAACTAACCACTGTCTTGTTTAAAGAATAAAGATGTGTTACTGGTTATTTCTAAATTGGAATGCTGCAGAATTAAAAGGGCAGTGTATATGAGCTTATATGAATTCTTAGTTCATGGACCACTTGGCATGCAGTCATGGCACTACTAAAGTAATGAAGGAGAAAAAGTCTAGAAACAAAAAAAATTAATAGCCAACATGGACTTCAAAAATGAAAATCTTGTCTGACTAATATTATTGAATGAACTGAGTAAGTAGCTGAGGTAGTAGACAATGATAATGTAATAACTGTCCTAAACCTTCATATTCAGAAGATCTCCAATAAGGTGCTCCCTAATAGTCATGTTAGGACAAGTGACAATAGATGTGTTTCAACAAAGAAGAATAAAGTGTAGTTATTCAGACTAGAAGGTAGGAAATGGCATTCCATGTGATTAGTGCTAGGACAATTGCTATTCACAATTGATCTCAATTATTTGGACTCTGCAATCAAAAACACAGTTTCTGAATTTGCAAATGACTGATTTAAAAATTATAATAAATGGGAGAAGAGAATAGGAGGTTACCTTCGTAGAATTGGATGAAGATAGACTACAGGATGCTCAAGAGGAGCGTAAATTTTGACATCTAGGAAGGACAGACAAGAATGCAAAGGATGTAGAGTTGTGCTAATAATAATGGATGTGGTCAGTACATTACGAAGCAGGGAAACTCTGATCAGAACAACAGTGTGTAGAATCCATTTGCGTGGAAGTAAAACAGCAAGCACAGCAGGCATTGGTGGCTTATCAATAACTAACCAAATAGTAGTGGTAGTGTCAAGCATGAGATTAATTGAGAGTTGAGAGGAGCATGTCACATGAGCAACACAGTAATCATAGGTGATAGCAATCTGCATATAGTCTGGGTGAATGAATTGAGCACTAAAGTTGTAGAGTTCAGGTGTCTGGAATGTGTTAGGGCTGGTATTCTGATGTTAAGGAACTGACTAGTAGTTGGGCTGTTTTATGTCTAGTACTATAATGAAAATTGGCTGATTAATTTAGTTGTAAAAGAACATTTAGGGACAAATGAACACAATACAATGAATTTTACAGTTTCTTTGAAGGTGAGGTAATTCAGTCAGAAATAAAGATAAATTTGAATAAGGAAAATTTATGAAGTCATGAGACACAAGTTGACTCCGGTAGATTGGGAAAATAAAAGGCATGACTTAGATAAGCAATGATCTTTAAAGAACTATTACAACAATTATACATTTCAAGGTGCGAAAACGTTGTCTACCATACATGACAAAGGAAGCTAAGGGTTATATGAGTAACAAGAAAAGCCTAGACATTTGCCAGAAACAGTACTGAATTGGTGAATTGGAAGGATTTTAGAATGCAGCAACGGAAGACCAAGGAACTGTTATGTCAAGGGTGCATAGATTAAGAATGCATTCTAGTAAAAAAAAATTAAACTGACTGTAGAATCGTCTGTAGGTAAAAAGGAACTATTTAGCTAAGACTTGCAATGGTAAATAGAGAAATGATAGAGGGACTAAATGATTACTTGCACCTTCCTCAGTGAAAACAAGCAATCTCCCAGAATTATGAAGTGACTAGGGAGAATGAGGAGTTAAAGCAAATTGGTACTAATAAGATTGTACAGCAGCAATTAATGGAACTGAAAGTTAAGTCCCCGGAATATATAGACTATATCCCAGATTATTGAATGAGGTAGCTAAAGGGATAGTCAATGCATTGATGATTATCTTCCAAAATTCTATAGATTCTGGATTCCTGCAGACAGCAGCTAGCAGTTGTTGCCCCTTCTATTTAAGGGAGAGACCATCAGTCATAGGGAAAATACTATTATAAATGATTTGATAAATGGGCACTGGGATAATAATCATGGGCAGAGTCAGCATGGATTTACAAATGGGAAATATAGTTTGAAGAAATTGCAGACAAATTGACAGTCAATGGATCTAGTATACTTGGATTTTGAGAAGGGTTTTGATAAAATGTTCTCCACAGTAGGTGGTTTAGCAAAATTAAACTACATGGAATGGGAAGTGTAATGTACTTGCATGGATTAAAGATTGGCTAACAGGCAGAAAACAATAGAAATAAACAAGCTATTCTGATGTCGGCAGGCTGGAACTTGTGGGGTACTGCACAAGTGGGCATGTGTGTTAGGAAGATGTTAAGCACCTTCAGGAAGATTTGGACAGGTTTGGTGGTGAGCAAAAACATGGCAGCTGGGATCTGATGTGCAAAAATGTCACGTTATCCACTTTGGTAGGGGGAATAGATGTGCAGAGTATTTCTCAAATGGTAAGATGTGGGGAATGGTAGAGATAGGAAGGGACCTAGGTATCCTTGTCAAAAAGTCACTGAAGGCTTAACATGCAGGTGCAGCAAGCAATTAAGAAAGTTAAAGAAATGGTATCCTTATCATAAGAATTTAAGGGTGGGAATGGGTAGAATCAGACACAGCATGCATTTACAAAAGGGCAATCATGCTTGACAAATCTTCTGGAATTCTTCAAGGATGTAATTCACAAAGTTGACTGGTGCGGCAGCAATCCAGCGGATAAGGTTTGTTTGGACTTTCACAAGGCTTTCAACACAGGCCCACATAAGAGATTAATGTATGAAATTAAAACTCATTGGATTGAGAGTGGTGTATTGAGACAGAGAAAATTGGTAACTCAACAAGAGTAAGAATAAAAGGGTCTTTTTTCGAATGGCAGGCAGCGACTAATGGGGTACTCCAGGGATTGGTGCTAGGACCCCAACTGTTCGCAATGTATGTTGATGATTTGGATGAGGGAGCTAAATGTGATGCCTCAAAATTTCCAGTGACAAAGCTGGGTGGGTGAGCTGCGAAGAAGATAGAGATATTGCAGAGTGATTTGGACAGGCTGAGTGAGTGGGCAAATGCATGCTGGATGCAATATAATGTGGAAAAAATGAGAGATTATCTACTTTGGTAACAAAAATAGGAAGGCAGATTATTATTTGGCTGTAATTGGAGAGGGGTGAAAGGTCCATGAGATCTCGGTGTCCTCCAGCACTAAATGCTGGAAATACATGTGCAGGTCCAGTAGGCAGTAAAGAAGACAAGCTGTGTGTTGGCCTTTGTAGTGAGAGGATATGAGTACAGGAGCAAGGATGTGTTTTGCTGCAGTTTTACAGGGCATTGGTGAGGCCACACCTGGAATATTTTGTGCAGTTTTGGTTTCCTTATCAAGGAAGGATGTTCTTACAATGGAAGTAGCATGGCGAAGGCTTACCAAATTGACTCCTGGGGTGGCAGGACTGACTTATGAGGAGAGATTTAGTTGGTTAGGATTGTATTCACTGGAGTTTACTGAGGGGTATCTCATGGAAACCCATAAGATTGTAACAGGACTAAACAAGTTACGTGCAGGAAGTATGTTCTCGATGGTGGGGGAGTTATAGTTTAAGGATAAGGGGTACACATTTATGGCTGAGATGAGAAATCTCTTCAACAGAGTGGTGAGCCTGAGTAATTCACTACCATAAAGTGGTTGAAGCCGAAATAGTGCCTTCAAGAAGAAGGTTGATCCAGTTCTTATGGCTAAAGGGATCAAAGGATACAGGAGGAGGGTGGGATTAGAGGATTGAGTTTGATGATCAGCCATGGTTAATTGAATGGCAGATCAGGCTCAAGGGGTCAAATGGCCTACTCCTATCTAAGTTTCGATAGTTATTTGATAGTTGGTCGTGTGTTTCCACACACTTGAAAACTTACATCTGCTCTGATTGTCACATCAAAAGTATTCTCCCTGCCCCCACCCACCCCCAAACCTTAAATCACTTTGTTTATAAAGGCACTTTTAACATATATTTTATTTATATTTTTTAGACATTTTACTCAATTTCTCATGGATAAATGTTTGGATGAATTTCACAGCATTTTGTTTTGGAATAGGTTAAGCAGTTTTGGCATTTTTTTTTCTTTTTGCAGTGCGTAATCCATCTTGAGGATAGACTTCAAGAGCTGTATTTTAAAAGCAAGATGCTGTCCGAATACCTGAAAGGCCACACCAGAGTGCATGTAAAAGAACTGGGAGTGGTGCTGGGGTAAATTGGAATCTTGAAACTTAACTGTATATTCTACTAGCTGGTTTCAAACATGTCGTGCTTTCAGTAGTTTTCGCTAAAGTTCCCAAAGTTGTGGCACAGTATTTTATAAAATTATACATATATTATGACTGAATTTTACATTGTTTAAAATTGTGTACCTTAATAACTTTTTTTCCCTTTTACACTGGCTGTTTTCAGAAGTACGTATAGTCATGGAATTATTTATGGCACAGACGAGCTGTTTAGTTCAAGTCGATGCTAGGTCCCCATGCGCTAATTCAGTCAATCCCATTTCCTTTTAAAATCCCTCCCCACCCCCTACCCCACTGTTCCAACTCCTCTGAAGTGCGAATCCAGTTTGCTTTTGAAGACATCTACAGATTTTTTTGATTTTTTTTTTAAAAGACTTTTTTTTCCAAATTCTAACACTTATTTTTCTGTAAAAATAATCTTGTCCTGCTATTGGTCATTGCTTCACAAATTTGACCTGTAGCAGATATAATGCCAAAATTTGGAACTGATCTTTTGTAACAGAGTTGCTTCAGGGATAACGTTGGTGGGAGAACTTGATCTTTTTTTGTTTTGAATCTACATTTCTATTTATGATTTTCCATTTTTTAAAAGTTTAAATGATCCCAGAAACAGTTCCTTGAGAAAAGTTGATAGGTTCCTTAATCAACCCGAAGGAGAGAGGCAACTTAGATTTGAGTTTACCGAAATGGTTCAGTTAAAACTGGCCTAAATGGGTGATCCTGATTCTGGTGCATGAGAATAGAAGATAATACAATTTTCTGGTCAGCCCAGCCTCCAGTTGGCCTCGCTTAATTAAAATGACTACAGTGCTGCAAGGGTCTTCTTGTAAATTGTTGACATAAGACACTTTGTTCCTTATATAAACCAACTGATTTTGGGGAGAACTGGCTACTAGAGGTAGCTTGTATGTTATTTATTATTTAAGGCTGTTGTTTGAGATGCCATTTCATATAACACTTGCACGTGAGCATTGTACTTGAGGTTTTGTGTTTTCTTTCTGACTTGTAGCAGAGTGAGATTTTTTTTATCCTGCATGTTGTTCACAGCAACTTAGTTCTTCTCTTTTTACAGGATTGAATCGAATGATTTACCTCTGTTGGCTGCTATAGCAAGTACTCATTCTCCATATGTTGCCCAAATACTCTTATAAGCTAAATATTCAGAACAGCCTTTGCGAGAAAGGACTTAAAAATCAAACTGAGCGCATCGGACAGCACTGAGTTTGTAAACTTCAAGCACATGGTTACAAGTAGCATGCAAAATGACAACTGGATTGTGCTGCAGTGTGCATTCAGTAATTTTTTTTTATAATGTAGACGTTCTGTCATTTTTCAGAATTTCTGAAAAATATGTTCATATCAGTGAGAAATTTTAATGAGAAGTGACTAAGATTTTTAACAGAACTTAATGAAGTCTTTCAAATTCTTCAAACATAAGGGTGACAACTAAAGCATCTATTTTGTAAGAAACCGACCAGACTCCCATGCCATCTTGAATGTTTGCTTCTGTGATGTTTTGACTTTTGAGTCACTTTATCAATTGCCTTAACTGATATGTAATTGAGTATTACAAAAAACATTCCTATTCCAAAAATATGAAATTGCATCTATTGATTTTACATTTTTGAATTGCAAGGATACTGTACAATCCTGCACAAAGCACAGCAAAAAAACTCCAACTTAGCAGTTTACTTTGTACATTGATTGATTTGACAATTTTTGAGTCTAGCTGTCTGTTCACCTTTAAAGGGACAAAGTAGGCAGAAATATATTTTTTAAAACTTTTATGGAGTATCTTCCTTAAATGAGTGTTGTTTACAATGATTTCTGAGCTTATGCAAGATTGCATTTTTCTGTTAAACAGCTTATAGTACATGGAATAGTGGGGCTAGTCTTGTGATATCAGCTTTGTACAAATATAGACTCTGCCCTTTTGCATTTAATTAATAACCATATTAGTGATGACCAACAGGGTTGTGTTAAATAATTCTCAGACTGACTGATTTTAATGGAGAATTCTAAAATGTTGAATGATAGGAATATTGAAAATTAGGATTCTTGGGTGTGGGGTATACTGTATTTTGGTTGTGTACATGCGTATGGTACAATCTCAGCCAGTAAGAACTGTATAGAGACTGTGTTTGTCTATCATAAATCTAATGACAGTAATGAATTTCAAAAACCTGCTGGGGAAATGTTCCAATTAAAAGTACAAATAATTAAATTGATGAGTATCCCAGAATGTGCTGCAACTTCACCCAGTGGTTGGGGAAGGAAATCTTTTACATTACACTTGGCTAATAGTATTTCCTGTGGAACCAGATAGTCAGCTCAATGATGGGTCACCTTTTTGAATTAGTGCACAGGAGACCTTGGAAATAATCCTTCTGCCATTGATTTCCGCACAAAACGGTGGGGTTTCCTATCTGGTACATAAGTTGACTGTATTGGTTGGAGAAATTTCATGAATAATTTTACTATTCCTTTTCCCCAGTCCAGCCTTTGCTAAAGCAGCATTCATCCATTGGGGTTATTACTTTACATATGACCTATTTACATGTGACAGAGCTGTTGTTTTGCTTTTATTTTCATTTTAATGCTGAACAAACTGGGCGGGGCTTCTGTTAATAGAGAATTTGAATTTAAGCATATTGGTGATTTGCCACTAGAAAGGATCATGTTTTATAAACCTAGAATTATGAAGTGGGAAAGTAATGAAATCCGCTATGAACATATTTCTGAAGTTTGATGCTCATCTTGCATGCTTTCAATGAAAGTAGTGGCTTGATGCTATACTTCAGTTTGTTTTCTAGTTTTGATTTTAAATTAAATTTCTGATGAATAGCATACTCAAGCATGCAAATATTTCTATGATTAGACATAATTATTTGGAAGGAAGTGGATATCAACTGTATATAAGCTTTGTCCTTAAACTTTTAAATGTTGTAGAGCCTGAAATTTGTGCACTTTTTGAAGGCAGCATACCATTTGATTTTCTTGTCACAAACAGTTATAAGTTACTGATAGCTGCATTTTTAACATTTGTGGCATCTAGCAAACTTACTGATCTAATTTAATATATTCCAACTTTTAAGTTTTTAATTTAGTTTATTCTCATCACCTATTCCCATGAAACCCACTACACCAAATACAGAAACTAAATTGTATAAGACAAAAATAGAAACTACTGGAAAAGTTCAACAGGTCTGGCAGCATCTGTGGAGAGAACACAGTTAACATTTTGGGTCAAGTGACCCTTCTGCAGAACTCTGTTCTGAGGAAGGGTCAGTCGACCCAAAACGTTGACTCTGATTTCTCTCCACAGATGCTGCACGACCTGCTGAGCTTTTCCAGCAATTTCTATTTTTGTCTTTGACTCACAACATCTGCAGTCCTTTCAGTTTTTATCTGTTATTCAGCTTCATGTATGCATCAAAACAATGAGAAATATTACCAAGCATGTATGTTACCATCATCCACAGAATCAGATGATATCTGGTTTTTATTCAAATACCCTGATATCCACATACTTCTGCTATCCCACTAATGTATGTATTGAAAGAATAAGTTCAAAACCTATACAAATCAAGCTTAAGAACTTCTTGTCGGATCATTTGGGGGATTAAATATCGTAGGTGTGGAAGGCGCTAATTTAATGGTTTTTTTTTTGTTAACCCCCATTTTCATTTGAGGTAGTGGTCTATTTTAGCCATTGGCTGCATAAGTTGAATTTTGGATCCACTGCCAACTATTGAGTGAAAAGTATATTTATCCTGAATTACAATATTAGTGTTGTAGAGATACAGTTCAACGTAGAGGTTAACTTTTGGTTGTCAATAAAGTTCTCCTGGCATAATTTTACAAAACAGTACAAATCTTACAAGCTGAAATAGAAAGTGTGCTTACTTAATTATTACACTTGTGTGCCAGTGCCTTGATTGTCCCTTTTTTAAATGTTTGTAGCTGGAGCAGGTGTTCCCCTTGCTCAGTTAGTCTATTAACCTGCAAGCTAATCTTTTAAGACTGCACTTAGTTTTTTTTTCCATCTTTGTAACCTGTTTCAATTGGAACAGCTTAGGCCACTACTTGGTGTTTCCTTGTTTCTTCATTTTAGATATTTGTCAGGTCCAGGATGAGTGCTGTTCTGCATATTTTTGCCTGCATATTAAATTATTGGTTACTCATTCACTTTTCTACTGCATCATTTGAACAAATGAGAACCAAATGCTGCATTTGTAACCTCATACATTAATTTGTTGTGTACGTATCTGGCTTTTAACACAGTAAGTGGGCTTTTCTAAGTTTTGTTAAAGCTTGGTCTCTATACATCAATTTTTAAATGTGGGAAAATTTGAGAAACCTGAATTTTCATAATTTTTATTTTTTAAAAATAGAAAGCTCAAGTATGTTTCTATTTTAAATGGGAATTTAAACTTGCTGGCAAATTCTGAGAACTATTGCTTGTTAAAACTACCTCAGTTGACTGACAGGAATCCAAACATTGAGTTCCTTTATGTTTCTAATGTCTTATCTATCTAAATTTGTCTTTGTTTTTGAATTTTGCTATAAAATCAAAATCAAGTTCCTAAGATGATAAATGGCATGTTAATGCAAAGCAAGTTTTAATTATACTTGGTGTAACTTCTTTTCGTAAGTAGTTTTTCTGTTGTAATACCTAATAAAGTAAGTGTAAAGTGAATTTTGAAAATGCTGTTTGGCGTGTGAAACAGTTCCTGAATGTAACTCTGGAGTAACAGTAGATATAGCTGACATAAGTATCCTTGTATTTGGCATTTTGTCCCCATTTCAGTGTTAATATTAAACTAGTTTTATTCAAGCCATCTCCTTCAGACATGTGAATTGTATACACAACTACAAGCCTATTGGTTTGTAATTTATTCTGGAAGTGATATGTTGTATGAAACTCAGAACGTGTACGCATTCGTGCCATTGTGTGAGTATGTACAAATTTTTGATCCGAGTTCAGTAATTGTGTTGTCAGAATCATTTTATAACAAGTTAAAACTTGTCTAATTTTTTCAAATAGCTTTTTAAAACTTCCTGCCAACGTGTTTTAAGTTGCAATGTGGAAATTTGAGACAAGCAGTTTTGAGTTTAGAACTTCTGTGAACAAGAAAAGTGATTCAGAATTCAAGGTTTCAGTAAAATGCAATGGATTTTTAAGTACAGTAAACTTTATTCTACACACTACATTGTTATTTTTATCTATTCAGTTCAACGGTGCTAGGATTGAATAGAATGTTGGAAACTGGTCATGTACATTCTTTCATGTAAATATTCAGTGTATTTCAGATCTTTTTATGTGCAATAAACTATTGGATTATATACCTGTGTGTTTTAATAAATTGATGGGGGGTGTTGTGTGTTTGCAACACATGAATGATGGCTGAGGGCCGTCCACATGTGCAAAAGAATTCCATGATGTTGAATTGATTGTTATCATTGATCCTATAGCACTATCCAAAGACACACAACTAGCACAGCTTAATTGTCAGTTGTTGAATGGTCGTAGATGTTTACTGTGACATATGTCTTTATCAAACTTGCAGCAACTTGCAATGCCGGCCATAGACATACTGTGGTTTAATGTATGCAAATATGATTCTCCACCAAGAGATGGCTTTTACCACCCATGCAGCCATTTGAAAATCCTTTGATCAATTTGCACCTTGATATCTGAATTCCAGAAAACAGCCCTGATTTGTGCATTCTTTCCTTGTAATTTAGTCGTCAAAAGTTAGTCTAATTTCTTTGCCTAAATAAGTTAAGCTGGAATATCAAGCTTCACAAATTTCAATTTAAAAGCATGATGTAATGGCTATCCACAAATATAAACCAAGCTTTTCAGAGTCAAAAGTTATTTCAGTAAAAATAGAAAATTCCTGGAAATACTTAGGTCAGGCGATGCCTGCATGTAGAGAGAGAATTCATTTTTCAGATTGATGACCTTGCTTCACAATTTTCCACTGCTGCCTGGTTTGCTGTGTACTTCTAGTATTTTCTGTTAATTTCATTTTCTAGAATCAAAAGTATTTTGTTTTTGTGTTCTGGTAATTCTAGGCACAACTTCATCTAAGGATAATATGATCTTCCTAAAGTGTCGTGTGTACCACTACTCTCAGTAACTCCCTATTGTGGTCTAACTCAGGTTTTCTGTAGCTGTGACATTCTAGTCTAAATATAACGAGCACTCTTGTGTTAACCTTTTTGATATTTTATTCCTCTATGTAACTGAACTGAAATCTGTTTGCACCTCTAGCTTTTCTACAATACCCTGTTCTTTTTTTCATTTCTAACCACCTCTACCTATTTGGACAAACTGGTAAATGGCTTTTTGTTCTTCAACTTAGTTAATTGAGTATTGCTGTGAAAAGGCACACTTTGTCAAAGCTTTACCTCTTGTGCTCATCAGGACAGTTCACAAAAGTGAAAGGGAAAACAGCATTTGTAGTAGAAGAGGAGAGTGACTGGTTGGCAAGGTGAACTCTGGTAAAGCTGTTGCTGTGAAGAATGCACCAGTCAGTGACTACTGACAGTTAACTTCCAGGCTTTGTTTAAATTTTAAAGTAGTTTCTGGTGAAGGCAATCACATTTTTATGTTGAAACAGATGAGAGAGTGTATGTCTTTTGCTACAAAAAACAGAGGCCTATGCAAAGCCTTGCCTAGTGCAAATAGCTGAAGCTATAGACTTTTGATAAGATCCTCTGGCCTTTGGAACATACAGCCTATTGATTTATTGTTCAGTGAAAAGCTTTGTTTACAAGTGGTACAGGCAGATCATAGTAAACAAGGATGTAAAGATCAAAAAGACTTAAGATATACAGGTTACATTGCACAGGATGTGTGCTAGGTCAGAAAAATGTTAGCAAAATCAGCATTATTTGAGGGTAGAGAGTCCATTGATCAGTCTAATAACAACTGGGAAGAAGCTATTCCTGAAACTGCTTGTGTGTCTGTTCAGGCTTCTGTATCTTCTGCCTGATGGAAGAGGTTGTTGGAGATTGTTACTGGGGCGAGATGGGTCTTTGATGTTGGCAGCCTCTCCGTGGCAGTGAGCCATGTAAGTAGAGTCCATGGATGGAAGGCTGGCTTCCATGATGGTGTGTACAGCCCAGACCACCTTCTGTATTTTCTTACGATCCTGGGCAGAGCAGTTGCCATACCAGGCTGTTATGTGCCTGGACAGTATGCTTTCAGTAGTGCATCTATAGAAGTTGGTGAGGGTCCTTTATGGACATGCCAAATTTCCTGAGCCTTCTGAGGAAGATGAAGCGTTGTTGTGCCCCCTTGACTGTCGTGGTAAGTCCAGGACAGGTTGTCAGTTATTGTCCCTCCAAGGAATTTAATGCTCTTGACCCTATAGACCTCCGTTCCATTGATGTGGGTGGGAATGTGTTCTCCTTTTCTTCATTAAGTCAATGATCAGTTCTTTAGTTTTGCCGATGTTGAGAGAGAGTGTTTTCATTGCACCATGCCACCAAGCCCTCTATCTCCCTTTTGTATTTTGACTTTGAGTTTAGTCCCACTACGGTGCTGTCATCAGCAAACTTTTAGATGGTGTTCATTCAGAATTTGGCAACACAGTCATTGGTGTATAGGGAGTACAGTAGGAGGCTGAGGATGCACCCTTGGGGGAGGGGGGTTGGGTGGTGCTGCGGTGTTGTGTGTTACTGTGGAGGAGGTGCAGTCACCTATCTTCACTGATTGTGACATGTGGGTCAGAAAGCTGAGGATCCAGCTGCAGAGGGCGGGGCTGAGACCAAGATCATGGACTTTTGAATTCAGTCTGGAGGAGATAATGGTGTTGACTACAACTCCACCTTCAATGAGCAGGAGTCTGATGTAGGCGTCTTTGTTCCACGGATGAGTGCAGGGCTAGGGATATGGCATCTGCTGTGGACCTGTGACATTGGTAGGCAAATTGTAGTCAATCGAAGCAGGCTGGGAGACTGGACTAGCCTCTTGAAGCACTTCATGAATATTGAGGTCAGAGCCGCTGGGCGGTAGTCATTAAGAAAGCACATGCAGTGTGCCTTAGGTATGGGGATGATGGGTAGTCTTCTTGAAGCCCGTGGGGACTTGGGATTGTAGGAGGGAGAGGTTGAAGATGTCTGTGAATACCTTCATCAGTTGTTTTGCGCAGGATCCAAGTACATGGCCTGTCACTTTCCTTGGATTGACTCTCAGGAAGACCGATCTGACTGCTGAAGTGGTGATGGAGGGAACAGGTGTGTCCGGGACTGCTAGGGTAGCTGCTGAGATTTAAATTCAATATATTAATGACATTTAACAAATTGAAACAAGTGGAATTGAAAACTATCCTCCCTGTAACTATCATTTAAATAAAAACCCTTTTAATTCACTGATATCCTTTTGGGTTAGGAAGCCTGTTGCACTTGCCTGGTCTGACTTAGAAATATTGGAATATTTTTAACTGCCTTAGCAGTGACTTAGCAAACCATTCTGTTCAAGGGCAATTGGGGATAAGCAACAGATGCTGGACACGGTACTGACACCGATATCTGTGAAAAATAAATTCTTAATGCAAAGCTGATCTGTCAAACATTAAGTGAATGCACCTCCCTCTGTCATCTTTGCCGCATCACCTTTAACTGGATTCCATACTGATGATTGTGTTGATGTTTGCGTTTTGCGTTTGCTAGCATTTATGGAACTGCATATTAGCGATCTAGACACTACCAAAGAAAATGGAGCACAGGTGTTTACAATAGGAGTTGGGAGGTCATGTTGCGGCTGCACAGGACATTGGTTAGGCCGCTATTGGAATGCGGCATGCAATTCTGGTCTTCCTGCTATAGGAAGATGTTGTGAAAGATTTACAAGGATGTTGCCAGGTTCGGAGAGTTTGAGCTCCTCAGAGAAGCTGAATGGACTGGGGCTATTTTCCATGGAGCACTGGAGGCTGAGGGGTGACTTTAGAGGTTTATAACATCATGACGATGTTTAGGGTAAACAGACAAGGTCTTTTCCCTGGGGTGTGGAGTCCAAAACTAGAGGGCATAGGTTTAAAGTGAGAGGGGGAAAATTGAAGAGATGTCACCACGCCGCTGACATTCTGCTTGTAGGGTGTAGTCGGGAATTGCAGGGGTGAGCCAAGTCTCCGTGAAGCAGAGCACACAATAGTCCCTCTGCTAGGTAAGTCTAGATCTGAGTTCATCCACTTTGATTTTGATAGCCGAGACAGCCTCAAAAGGCTGAGGCTAATCTTGTAGGGAGGCAGCTGCTGAGATTTAAATTCAATATATTAATGACCTAAGGGTGGTGCTTTTATGGAATGAGCTGCCAGAGGAAATAATGGAGGCTGGTACAATTGCAGCATTGAAAAGGCATCTGGATGAGTTTCTGAATAGGAAGGGTTTAGAGGGATATGAGCCAACTGCTGGAAAATGGGACTAGATTTATTTAGGATATCTGGTTAGCATGGATAAATTAGATTGAGGGGTCTATTTCTGTGCTGTACATCTCTGACTCTAAAATACATAGTTACAGAACTGTCTGCATTTCTATCTTTCTTTGCAAGATTTCAAGGTATCTGTTTTGACAAAAAATGGGTAAGAAAGACTTATTAGAATTACTACAGTGCAGAAGAAGGCCATTCAGCCCAACAAGACTGCACTGACCCTCCAAACAGCATACCACCCAGACCCTGTAACCCCACACTTATGGCTAGCCTACTTAGCCTGCATATTATGGGGCAATTGACCATTTAACCTGCATATCTTTGGACTGTGGAAGGGAACCAGAGCACCCAGCAGAAATCTCTAAGACACCGGGAGAACATGCAAACTCCACACAATCGCCCAAGGCTGAAATCAAACCCAGATCCCTGGTGCTGCGAGATAAGTGCTAACCACTGAGCCATCATGCTGCCTATGGATGTTAGCATCCTCCATAACCTCAAGATACAACAAAGTGGTTTGCAGCCAATGAAGTACTTCTAAAGTGTAATTTATGTTCTCTGGAAATGTGGCAGCCAATTTGAACAAGCCGAGCTCCCAGAAACAGCAATGTACTAATGATGAGTTGTTTCTTAAGATCATACAGAATCCCTACAGTATGGAAGCACCGACCTGCTGAGGAGCAACCACCCCTTACACCATCCCTATATTTCCTACCCTAGACTGTATGAACAGTTTAGCATAGCCAATCCACCTAACCTCCACATCTTTGGACTGTGGGAGGGCACCAGAACACTTGGAGAAAACCCACACAGACAGTCACCTGAGGCTGGAATTGAACTTGGGTCCTTGGCACTGTGAGGCTAACCACTGTGCCACCATTTGATAAGTGTTATCAAAACAGC